TACTTTCACACTGAGGAGCGATACTGGCTTGAGACATGACAGGGCCCCAAACTTCAGAGCCCAGTAGGCTTCCTCAAACCCTCTTCCCATTTTGTCTTAAAGCACTGAAAAGAGACACTCTACCACTGTCCATTCTTTTCGAGAGGACAATGGTAATAATGTAGGCTTTGTCTTGGGAATGAGAGCTATTTTTGTTTTTTCCCCTCAAACCCAGTCGCAGCTAGGTACACAAAGTGCTTTAGAACTCAGAGCTGCATTTGATGCCTGGTCTGTGGGGCTTTATAAACCTGTGCTGCCTTATGCAGGAGAAAGATGCCATTTACATATGCCTTTCAAGTTTGGTTGTTTTCCATGACAGAGCACACTTTCTTCTCTGCTTGGCATGCTCATTGCTTTATTAAGTTAAATTTAAAACGCAAAATTAAATTTAAGACAGCTCTCTGCATCAAGAGTTACTTAAACGTTTTATTTATTGTTGCTTGCTAGACATAATTGTGAAACCATCTGCTCTTTGCAGGTGTTGAGTGCTGCACCCACACAGTATCAGGTATTTACAGTGAAATGTTTTGGGGGTGCGTTGCTCCTGTAAGAGGTTTTGGAGGACCAGTAGGTGTCACTCTTCAGTCTGGACCAGCAGTTCAAACCACTGCCCCCAGTGTGATGAAAAGGGACGCTGTGCTGTTGGAGGTGTCATTTTTTGGATGAGATGTTAAACGAGGTCTGGACTACCTGGTCAAGGTCCCACAGCTATTTATAAGAGTAGACAGACGTGTTAAGTCTGATTTCCTGGCTGAATTCCACTTTATCCTTGCTACATTTTTACCCATAATTTGATTGGTAAACCAGTTTCTCACTTCTCTACTGGGTGTGCTGTGTATTGGGGCTGCTGGCATGGATTGACTGCCACCTATCTATATCCCAGGTGGGGATGATAAGATAAGGTCACTTTCTTAGCCCCATACAATTTCTTGCATAAGGAATTTGTCTTTTCACATACCCCAACTTGCACTCCATGAGACACACAGACAGGAAGAGAAGCTTGGGGTCAGAGCACAGGGTCAGCCATTGTACACGGCTGTTGGGGTTAAGTTGGGGTTAAGGGTCTTGCTCAGGGGCCCAACGGAGTAGGACTTCAGGGCACGGGATTTGCACCGGTGTGGGTCTTCTCCTATAAGCAGAATGCTTTGGAAGTCTTTGTAATGAAAAGAACAAAAATAAACGCATGGTGAAGCATCCCGAATAAATACAGTAATTGACAGATATTTGCTGTGCATTATGTTTCCTAGACAAATGCTATTTCTAAAACTGGATTATTTTTCAAAATTACCTCGTACTGTAACCCTTCCCCTTAACTTAATTTCTACCAAGACACATTGTCATACATTTTGTAAATGGCCTTATTTATGCAAACTTTTCTGACCCCAAGATTACCATGCAGGGTAATTAATCTTGGAGTTCTAATGTGCTGTCATGATGTGGTGTTTTTACTTTTCTATATAGAACATGATAGAACACAAGCTTTACCTCAGTTTTTTTTTCTGTTGCTTTTGTGATGATATAGATATAGATTGCTAGTTGTGTAAAGCAGCCGCAGTGCACTGGTTGTGTTTGCACTTTCTTCTACTTGCTTAAAGTGGAAAGGTATGAATGACTTGCGACTTTTGGTCTAGAGACTATTTAGTTATTTTCTGTATTCCATTCCATGCCACAGAAACGCTAGACAATAGGATTGTTTACCGGCAGTTTTTTTTTTACCTTGTGTAGTCTGAGGTTTTTCTTTCCTCTCCTCAGTTAATTACCTGTTGAGAACTCCGCTGTGTCACACCACCTGCTGATCAGCCTTGCCTGGTTAAAAATGGTAGTTGAAGCAGTAATTAAAAAGCTCGCTTCTTTTGGGAGAAGCCTTTCTTCCTGGACGGTCAAACTCTGCTTCTTTATCCTGACCCACTCCAGTGCATTGAACTACCACGATACTCATCGCAGGAAGAACTGCAGCTTTTAGTGCTGTTGGTTTTTAAAATAAATGTCGTATAGTAAGAAGATCTGCCAGTTAGGAACAAGTTCAGCATTATATGTCTAAATGATACCATTAATCTTCAGGAGGTACTGGGCCTGTCATGCCAGAAAGTTATGTGCATGTACGAATAACCCACTAGGTCTAATGGACTCCTCTGTATTATACACCATTGATATGAGAGTGGAAAAGATACCTGACAGTGAAGAGATCTCAGCTTGCCTGCCTAGGCTGCTTTGTGCCATACAGTATTTGAAAGGATCCTCAATAAAGCACTAAAGAAAGGAAGCAAGCTTTTGCAGTTTATGCAAAGTGTCAACCTCATTGGTTTGAATAGAATTATCTTTTTTTTTTCCTTTAGAGGGGCCTTAGCTTGGAATGAAAAATATGCATCCTGATTTGACTGAAGTTTGAAATCCCTGGGTGAATGTGGTGAGATAGTGTTTTTAAGGACTGCTATGACAGTTTATGTTATGCATGAAATCTCCAGTGACCACATAACGATGGAGTGGAGTAGCAGTCTATAGAGACACATGTATGAATACATTTTTTTTACTCTTGTGCATGGAGGAAAATAAAACTGTGACTAGAGAGTTATCCCTGATACCACGCCATTAAGTGAATTGGTAGTAATTTACAACAGTACCAAACCCCACTAAAGTTACTATTGATTTTAAAAGTGCTGCATTCTTTTGCTGTGTTATTACCTCTCCAACACGTGTACCTTTGTAAACAAAGCTTTTTAAATATGAGCTTGAGCTAATATGATTTCTCCATAGATAACTAGAAGCCTCAATGGTTGCTAATCATTGTTTTGCCTGTTGTAGCCCCTTATATAAAAGTAGTGGTGGTGCATTTCCAACAAAAGGTACTGAAGTTCTTAAATTATTCAGTGTGATGAGGTAAAGTGGATGCTCTGTCATTTCATGCATTTGAAACCAAACTAAATACAAGCAGCAGATATGGGTTATAGCAGATGAGGATTTTTGCTATATACAGTATATTTTTGTAGTTCCGTAAATGTAGTTTAGAGTAGCTAACAAATACAGTGTGGTCACTGTTGTTAGAAATTGAGTTAGAAATTTAAGTCACATGTTTGTCAGTGTGTGTGAGTGAACATAACAAGGTAAGGAGACACAGTGCTGACTCAGACAAATTGCTATGTAAATTGCTGACTAAGAAATGCTACATAAAGTACATTCTGGCCTTCATAGGACTCGTGCTTTTGGAGATTCAAAAGTATTGTGTTTCGCTTCAGTCAGTTGATTACATAAAGTAAAGCAACCTCTTTATATTCAGTAGACATTATTACACATTGATACAAAATGGTAGTGTACAGGATTTCATGGTGGATTGTTTATTATAAAAAAAAATCACAACAATGAGGAAACAGACCCAAAAGGTTTGGCATTGTTTGTTGGGGATGGATGTAGTTGAATTTTATTGCATAATGAAAATACCCCTTACCCCAAAGTATGGTATCTTGTGCTTTAGATGTTAGTTCATGGTTTTCTAGATTAAATGCCTGTGGTCATTTTTGTCTTCTGGTTTGTGTCCTGTTTACTGAAATTTAATTAATTGTTTCCTTATTATTTACTCAAAAAGTAAAAACAAAAGGTCAAAATGGTGGAAAAGGGCTACCTTTTTTAAAAACAATACATACAAAACTACTAAACCCAATATTTTAGTTGAAGTAACATCTGTTTAATTGCATTACTGTGAATTATGTTTTCCAGTCTTTATAACATTACTCTTTCAGATTATATTGTGACCTTTTTGACATTCAGAGCATCTAAGGTATTCCTGAGATATGAAGTCAGACTGCAAAGCGATTCAGTACAATGCTTGTCTGTGAGGTTACTGTCAGTTTTGGCAGGGTTTTATGAATCATGCATTTTCCCTGTCAGGTGTTTTAGGTGAAGAGGCATTGAATGAATAAGATATCATTCTTTATATTTGCATATAGGCAATCTTATCATACAGCAGAATGTAAGAGGTCCATGTTCGGTGTTAAGGTGAAAAAGAAATTTGTGAATGTCTTTCTTTCCCCACGGGTGATTTCTGTTTGTAAACTGAAGTCAAAACACTAACAGAAGAATAAACACCAAACAATGTTGTGCATGCATTCAGTCTGTATACACATACATTTTTGAAAACCTTTGGTTTATGGTATGTTGAGTACTACTTTATTTCTAACAGAATTTCAATTTTTTACCACTTATGAAGATATTAGACATACTGGCACATAAGAGTCAGGTGCCTCTGACAAACTGATAACAGCATTAGTATGCAGTTCCTGAATATTCCTTTTAGCTAAGATAAGGACGACAGTTCCATATCAGTGCTTTGAAAAGCAATTGAGATAAATTAAAGATCTGTACGCTTAACTCATGAAAACGAACCGCCTGTCTATGAACATGCAATTAAATTTTAATCAGAAACATTCTTCTCCGAAACCAATGCAAGAAACCTAGTCCCTGTTATCTACCTGTTTGGAACAGTAAGGTGACTCAACCTGGATATATTGTGGTAATTAGAATTCCACTTCCACAGAAAGGGTAGGATTAACTTCTCTGCTGATTGAATGGTTACTAAATATTTAATCTTGGAAGGCAGTCCCAAGAACAATACAAGCCCAGTTTGTGTTGGGAGTTGTTTATGGTTGTAGTTGTTACAATTGTCAGGGATAATTCAACAGAATGGAGTGACAGGTATGTGCTACTGTATAATTGCTGATTACAAATATTATTGCTACTTAAAACCAGGAAGTAGGTTTCATGATATGGTAACTGCTTATCCATTAAAGTGATGTAAAGTGTTTATTTTTGTAGGGGGAACTTAATTGAAGCTCTTTCCAGTGGTTTCTCGTGTTCATTTAGAAATATTCAAGAGGTATAATACATATTGTGCCTGCACTGGCAATGAGCAAGTGTTCTCATATTTGAATATGCATTAAAATTCACTCTCTTGGTGTTTCTGTTGACAGATATGTGTCACAAAGATGTCTACACGAAACTGCCAGGGAATGGACTCAGTCATCAAACCCCTGGACACCATCCCTGAGGACAAGAAGGTCAGAGTTCAAAGGACACAGAGCAGCTTTGACCCCTTTGAGAAGCCAACGAACCAGGTTAAGAGGGTCCATTCTGAAAACAATGCCTGCATTAACTTTAAAGGCTCCTCAGCAGGAAAGGAATCTCCCAAACTCCGGCGGCATTCCAGTCCAAGCTCGGTGGGTACTCCCGCTTATTTTCATTTAGTAAACACTAAATCCAGCCACCTCAAGAATCTGTTTAGAGAGAAAATGGTCAACAAAGATGTTAAATTAAAACCTGCTGCAGTCCTCAAAACCCATTGGTATAATGTGTTACTCATTAATGCATCCTATAGATGCTATAGTATGTGAGAGAATTCTTGTGAGTGCTTATTTAACCATGAGTTCATGTATGAAGCTTTCACATCTCACCCCTGACTGCTACTTTTTTTGTCAGTGCGATATTAACAAAGACTGGAAACAAACACTAAAAATAGTCATATTGGAAGTAATGCCCAGGTGTCATACTCAGTAGCTCCAAATTCAAAAGGTGCAAGAGAGGTATTTCTACTGGAAAAAGAGAAGGCAGTCTATAACATTTCCCAGAAATGACACATCTAATTTAAGTTTTTTACCATGTCTGTGTACTGTACGTTTTCAAGGCCAGGTAAAATTTCTTTCATGGAACGATAGTTTTATCTATCTGTTTAATCATTGCATTAGTGATTGAATAATATATTACAATTTAAAGTAGCAATATATTTTCATACTTTGCTGCTTTGCTTTGTTATCAGATTAGTTGTAAATCATCACTGTCTATATCTAAAAGACATATGCTTAATGGTGTCTTTTTTATGCAAAGCCTGACAGGCTGACGGGATACTGTATATATATATGTGAGAGAACAGATGTTTTTTTCATTGTTTTCATACAGCATGCTGCTTTTGAAACTGCTATACAAAACTACTATTTTAATTTATATTGTTATTTTGTTTCAAATGTAGAATAGAGATGATATTAAAATACTTCGATATGGCAGCTGAGAAAGGGCAGCTCAAGGAATAGTTAAGAATTAATAAAAAGATTACAGGAATAAGCTTGCTTTTATGTGGCTTGGGGAATTGTGCAATACTGCACTATTTAATTACAGCATTGATAGTCTTGAAATCTGGATCACCTCACTACTTGTCTCTGAAAGAAAAAAAACATAATTTAATTAAACAAATATAACTTCTTATGTTATCATGCTGTATATATTTGAGAGATGCCTGGACAAGGCATAAACAAGAACTAATGTGATCAGTCTTTGTAATAATTAATGAACAGCAAAACAATTCACTAGTAAAGAATAAAATGGCATATCCAGCATATTTAAGGCAAAAACTATCCTGATGCGTTTTCTGAATTGCAAAATAGTCTTCCTATGATCTTCTTTTTTTTAAATTAAAACTTTAAACTAAACTTACCAAATTATTTTAACATCAACAATAATATTACTCTATACACTGTAAGAAGGATTCACATCCAGAACAATAGAATTGAAACTAGATCTTATGTAACCCTCTGGTGGTGTACTATAGAACATCTTGTTGAAGTGAATTAATAATATTTTGAATGTCTTCACTTTAAAATAAAAATGATAATGTTTAGGATGTCAAAATGGGACTACACTGAAATGTGCTGATATTTATGTAGTATGTCATTTGTCTGCATTTTTTAATCCTCTTCCTTCTGATCGTCAGAAGGCTGTGTTATTGCATGCGTGGCGGTTTTTATTAAAAAAGGACATTCACCAGGTTTCAAGCTCAGAAAAGGAAAATAGGCCTCCACCACTGTTTCCCTCCTTACTGTAACTGGCTATACTGTACTTAATTGCACAGGGAAATTCACATTTTAAGAAGGAAAGCAGTGTCTGCAGTGCTGCTCTTCTTTCTTGTAATCCGAGCAATTCCAGTGCAGAAGCTCAGTAAATAATGCATTGGAAAGCCCTGATGACTTCTCCGGGCCTTTCCCTGTTGCACAAAAACATTTGGACAGTCTGTGCTGTGCTTTAAGTGCAAGTTTGATTATGAAGGCGAATTGTTCAAATTGTGTTAGAAAATTGCATATTCTCAAGCTGATTCATGGCTTTGAAAAATGCATGAGAACACGAACTGCTTCGGCTCTCAAAGGGACAGGCGGCTCCGACTTGCATTTTTCCATTAAAGTTCACTTGGAGTAAATCAAACAGTAATTTAGAGAATTCAGACTTGCAGGTGATTCTAGGTACAGTATGTTAATCACACAATCAGATTCTACATAGTTTCTAGCTGCTTGACCCTATAACTCCTGTATCTGCAACATTTCAGGATCAATATCATTTTCTATTTATTTCGGGCTAGACCCCAGTGTGAAACACCTATTCTGTATAAGTTAAAAGTATATTGGTAATTCAAAATGACCTTGAAAAATATTTATGAACAATGAATGTAAATACTTCTGGAGTCAATCTAATCAACAGCCCAGCCAGAACCAGAATGTGATGGCACCTTTCAGTGGAACAGTCTCAAGAATAAATAAGGATATTAAGACATAATTCCCCAAATAACACATGGCATGCTAGTGGAGAAAGACATTTTGTGGCTTCTGTTCAAGATGTGTAGAGTTTGTGCGACGGTGTGTAAATACCGGTGTAGCTTTATGTAGTGTTTTGAAATCCTCTGTATTAATTGAAGAGGTTTTAGAGGAATATTTGTAATGCATGCAAAAAACACTTTTTGGAACATTGCTAAAACACAAACCTTGTTAAATGTCTTTCAGAACTGCAGGGGTCATTAGTTATTTTTTTAGCATCAACACACAATGTATTAAAGTTCTGACCAAATTAATCAACAGCTTTCCATAAATAATTAATACGACAACAAAAACAATAGTATGCTTTCTTTGTTAATAATAAGGGGTTACATTCTGAAAATCTCCATCTCCTATAGCGTGTTACTGTAAGAACATGAAACATGATACCTTTAACCATGAATTGCACTTGTTGACTCAAATATTTGAGGATTACATTAAATCTGTTTTTCATATTAGATTGCACTAACTGTAGCATACTGTATGTACAGCAGAGTAGAATACAGTAATCTCTCATTATATGAGCTTAATTCATTCCTCGAAAACTGCTCATAAAGTGAAAACCCATATAACAGAAATTAAATTCCCATTACTTTCTGTGTTATGATCTCTAATTCGTTCCAGAACTCAAAAATGTTTCCTTAAATGGCCAGGCATCTCCTAAATACAGCACATAAGCGTATTGAAGTTTGAAAACAATAACTTTTCTGATTATCTGAGTAACATGCTTAAAGTCATTAGCTAATGAATAAACAATAGGTAGGAAAACTAACACTCCTACTCTTTTACAGTACTATACTGTAGTTATATCATTACAGTTTTTAGCAAATTCATAAACATGCAGGAGGTGCTATCCTATACTGTATTCACTTAACTCACAGTCCTTTATTATAAAATAGTTACAGTATTCTTGGCAGTGCTTTATGAGAGTGTGAGGGTGATAATCTGCACATTAAATTAAGAAACTGGGAATTATAAACAAAAATATGCATACCGAGGGAGAATTCTGTATATGTAGAATAATACAGAAAGCTAGAAATATAAATATGTCATTACCATAATACAACAAGATGAACATCATGATCATTCTAAGGACAATCAAAAGTTTAAAAGTGTTACACTCTTTTGGTTTGTGGTCTTCAGTCCGAGTGTAAAAGTATTTCACTGTTATCATGTCCCTCAGTCTGATGAAGACTGATGGACTCAATGTACGACTTTCAAGTCGACAGACAGCGTCTGTTGATGACTTGCTGCTAAGGTCTTTACGCAAAAAGCTTTTGCATTGTGGCAATTCACCAGTATTTTTTGCCATTTCTGCAAACGTGCAGCCATACAGATTTCTATGCCGAATAAAATTTGACATTTAAATGAGGATTGCACATTCTGGGTACTGACAATCAGCTTTACAAATAGGCAGTGATGAAATCAAATTGTGAGTTTTCTTATAACTCGTTGAAGGTCAGAGTACTAGAGGCCCAGGATACTTTGTCTAGATAGTACACGTAGTACTTAGTATAGATGTACCGTTTTTTTCTATATTGTAAGGGAAAATATAATTAATGTTCATGTATCATAGCTCACCAGTACCTCCCTTTCCAAGGTCACAGGGAAGTAAACGATCTATTTATGCAGTACTTAACTCTTTTAAAATAAGTCCTTCCTCCTTCCATTAATGAAAAAGAATTATGTCTGCCAGTGTGCGGTTCTACATAATGCTGTTTCTAGGTGTGAGCTGTATAAAGCACCTACTCCCAAGTGCCCTTCCTCCTCTTTAGAGACAGATGGTGGAAGAGTCTTGGCACGCTCCTCTTTGACTCCGTCCACACTGCGCGGCCAGATTCAAGGGCGGTAGTCCTATCCAATTGGTCTTGCTGCCCTTGTTAATGTTTAGAAACTGAGCTCATTCCAGGATTCAAGTCCCTTAATAGGCTTTCAGAGGCTATGATGTAAGAATAGGCAGATACAGTGAATACTGTGTTTGCGTTTGACAAAATCTGCTTTAACTTTTGCAGATGTAAAGTAATTATTTGTTTTGGTGGTACTGTTCATATTCCATTTTTCTCCCCAATGCATATAATTATTTAAAGAAAAATAGTGCTGCTACATTTGTTTTTTATTTAGGAAGAAATGCGCTATTTATTTTCTTCGTGTGGTGGTTTTAATCTGTAATTCACTGCAGTTCTACAATATAACATTAGTTTTTTACTTAAACCTATGATGTTATTACCTGTGATCTCTAGTGCTGTAAGTGATCAAGAAGTCCCTTCTGACAGACAGGAATAGATAGGCTTTCAGTAAGATACATTAAAAACCCTCTGTTTATAGAGTAGAAAAAATAATATGTCAGTTGCTTAAAACTAAAAGATATCTGTACAGTATCTTACAATCTACAGCGAGCCCTAACCCTCACATCCTGCACAGCCCCAAGGGAAACAGAACATTTGTTTACGAGATCTGTAAAGATGTCAAGCTTGTTAGTGGCTAGGAAGATATCATCATGGGGAAAGACAAGGCCTAAACCGGAAGCAGAAATCTGTGGGATTCAAAAACTGGAAGGCAGCTGACTTTTTTTTTCCAAATTCCCATCTGTCCATAGCAGCCCATATTGCCAGGGAACAAGAGAATTCATCAGGGACTGTCTGGAATGTTTCTGCTGAGTTTGACTGAAAGCAACTGTGTTACACTATGAAGCAGACATAAAGGACTCCTTGCTTTAACCTCCCCACAAGTTGTTTTTTTTGTGATGTAGCAACAGAAGGACAAATAAATGAAATATTTCCTTTATTTACAAGCCTCAAAACAGAGTACCAGAATTTGTATTTTACTAAGGCTGACGTTGGACACTCCCAATGTGCTGTAACTGCATCACAAGCCTAGACTAGAATATGATAATTGAATCGGAACCAAAGAGTCTCAAAAATAGCTATTTTGCCACATTCTAAGAAGAGAATTTCACATGTTTGACAGGATACTCTCTTGAGATAGTATTGAAGGTGCATGTGAAAGCCTTGTCTCATTAAGTGGAGAAGAAAATCTAAAAAATCTACACACCTGCATGTATCAAAAGCCTGGTTAAACTGATAGCTACTGTAGTGAAACGGGATGATAAAAGGCACCAGGCCACAGGGCTCCAGATGGAATAGCAAGAGCTTTAGTTTTCTCTCTGGTTACTCTGTCACTGTAGTAGGGTGGCACTAAGCATAGTTGCCCGTTCCAAAACTGTCATTTTATTTATAGCTGAATTCACATTGTAAATGGTCTGTAGAACCATCCTAGAAACAGGCGTTCTCACAAAATCAAAAGACAGAAGAAGGTTATATAAAAGAAAGACACAAACTATATTTTTATTTCTCTCTTGGTTGTGTTTTTTGTAGTACACAAAGCAAGTGTTGGATGTTTAAATAATATGTACAGATATTCTTTGAAGCCTTCAAAGAGTTTATTTAGAAGATTCTGAAAAAACTATGAGCTTTATGGGAAAAAAATAGCTACAGTCCCAGAACCATACTGTATATCTAATTTCATCCTTTTAACTCATGGTAATTCTAGGTAATTAATTAGGTGATTAAGAATAAAATGTTATTCTAGGTAAGGATCACATTTTCTCAGAACAGACTTAATATACTAAAATATACTGTACCAGAAAAGACCAACCACCAACATGTATAATTCAGATAATTGTGGTGAGTTGTACAGTGTGTTTGGAATTTATAGCAAAGCATTTTATAATACTAGATTTGGAGATATATTGGAGATATATTTGAAGCATAATTGAAGAAACACTTAGCCTCTTGGAAGCTTAGTACTGTACAAGAAGCTCAACATGATTGGAATAGACGCAATCGATTGATAAATGACTCCATATGAAATCCAAAAATGTACATAAGTCAAAGTCAAAGTCAACTTTATTGCCAAACCAACCTTTAAGATTGTTAGGAATTTTAATTTAATTTGTATCCGACATAATGCCAGGTGCTCAGATGTAGATTTCCCTGACGTCAGAGGTGCAGAAATCGTAGTGGCAGAAGACAGCGGTGTTAGTATTCCTATTGTAACTGGAATTTAATGGAAGTGGTAAGTGGATAAGAGGATTGTAAATGGAGTCTAGAACAGATTGCAGTTCTCTAATGGTTCTGTGGAAAGGGCACTGTTATTGCTCCTGTTGAGTTGGCTGATACAGTACACATTAATGATTCAAGAAATGATCCACAGTGATCCCCTGTTAATTAAATCCCTTATTATTTCTCACATCTTTAATGAAGTAATTTGGGATCAGATATCAGATCAGGTCCATATTTTTTTATTTATGATTTGTGACCTGTTAGTTACTCATCAGCACCGTTGTGCCGAAGGCACTATGCACTAAGTGAATCATTATGTAATTATCATTATTATCATTATATGTATCAAAAGCCTTTGAAAGGTTAATAAACAGTAAGGTGCTAACCATTTTATATAATCTTATAATCTCAGTGTTGCTGTAACACAATATGGTTATACATAAGACTTTATTTTATTTAGTTTCTGATTCTGCCTTTAGGTAGAATTTTGTGATAAATAATGTGTCTAATATCTTTATAAGAGTAGTTAGGGTTCTACGTTTTCTTCTGCTTTAGTTCTGATTATGTTCAGGTAAAAATCTGGCTTTAAATACTGGGTTTTATGCTTACGGTCATTTTATCAATATAGTTTTTTTTACAACATTTTAACACACTTAGAAGAAATGGGAGAGGTTCTGCAGTGGTTTCAGTAGAGGCCTTTACTGACTATGGGTCTGGTTCTTCTCGCCTGAGCATGGTCTTAATAAATATAATAATTGCTTACACTTATATAGCACTTTTTCTGGACATTCCACTCAAAGAGCTTTACAGGTAATGGGGATCCCCTCCACACCACCAGTGTGCAGCCCCTCCTGGATGATGTGACAGCAGCCATAGTGCGCCAGAACGCTCCCCACACATCAGCTATCAGTGGGGAGGAGAGCAGAGTAATGAAGCCAATTCATAGCTGGGGATTATTAGGAGGCCATGATTGGTAAGGGCAGGAAGCCGGGGTTATACCCCTACTCTTTCGGAGAAACGCCCTGGGATTTATAATGTCTCATCCGAAGGACGGTGCCTTTTTACACTACAGTGTCCCTGTCACTATACTGAGGCATTAGGACCCACACAGATTGCAGGGTGAGCGCCCCCTTCTGGTCCCACAAACACCGCAAAGCAGCACCCTTAGTTTTTCCCAGAAGGTCTCTTATCCAGGTACTAGCCAGGCTCACACCTGCTGAGCTTCAGTGGGTTGCCAGTTGTGAGTTGCAGGGTGATTTGGCTGCTGGCTATATAAAGACTAGCTATCAGAATGCAATGAAGATAGAAAAACATCTAGCCTAATATTATGGTGCCATGAAATTAAACCAGGGTGGTGAAATACAGCCTCTTTCTGTTTTAATTTGAACCACATTCTATGGCTTTATAATATATTATCCATTGCGTCAGCTTACACTCTTTTAAAGCGATTTAAAGATTGTATCATTTCATGTCTTATTGGCTTTCAGGTCTGATTTTAAATTCTGAATTTAAAGTTTTGCATGAACATAAAACCCACTGGGTTTGAGTTTGTCTTGCCACAAGTTCCTAAGTAAACCATTTCAGCATGAAGCTTTTTGATCCTGTGGCTGTACCATTTCACAGACTGGATATCTTCAAGGACTGAAGTTACTTTTGTACCTTCACTGAATCTCTGAAGTCAGATTACCACTGCTGGCTGGACCCAGTCCATCACTCTGGGCAAAATTAATCAGAGCCAAAAATGAAACAAAACCTCCATTTTGTTCTCTTAACAGAATACCATTGCTAGATCTGGTGTCACAGAAACATGGTTATACAGGCCTCTATCTAAAGTATAACATCTGGCCTGTTGAATGATGCCTAGTTTTATACATCTTGCAACGGTCTTAGGCAAAAAGACAAATAGTTGCATTAGCCAGCATTACTTCACTTTGTAATCTGATTAATGTCAGTCACGGATATCTGACTTTTGGAATATCGATGAACCTCAGTCCCTTGGCTCACTTTTTGTTTTCTTTTCCATCGGTAATGGCTCCAAACACAGGGAACTGACATGCTTTCTTTGCTTGCAGCCAACGAGCCCAAAATTTGGAAAAGCAGATTCCTATGAAAAGCTTGAGAAGCTGGGAGAAGGTTCATATGCCACAGTTTACAAGGGGAAGAGCAAGTAAGTGACGTTTCTGCACTAAAACCTTTACTTTGAAAGCCCGGTAAATATGTGAAATTTCGGACTAAATGGAAAAAAGTTTTGTGAAACTGTTCCATAATTTTTTAATAAGACATTTTTCAGACAGTTCATGTACAGGTATATGATTTTACAGTATAAATTAGCAACCTCTTATCCTTTTAAATTGATTCATACTTTTATTATAGTGTGTATACTGTAATTCATACGGCAAATCATTTTTTTGCTTAAGTTAGTATTATGAGGCCTAATTACATTATAGAGTACCAAAGGTCTATACCCAACACTGTCTCCTTGGGGGTGTTTGAGTTGTGATGGTAGTGTCTTCTGTTTTCAATTTCTTTAAACATTGGCTGGGTTTAGAATATAATTTCGCATTTTTATTGTCAGTATCTCTGTCTTCTGACAGTTGATGGAGAAAATGGTGGTGGTACAGAGGCACATTTTCTCTAGAATGTCTTCTTATCTCTACTGCATCTGATTGAAAGTTGACATTTTATGCAGCCCTGCCTGTTTTAACAGCTCTAACGGTGTGAAATGAAATAAAATAAAAAGACTAAACAGCCCTTAAATTGATATGAAGCAAAGGCCCAGGTCATTTGTAATTATTTTTCCTTGAGCAGTATTGAACATCAGTAACTATACTGTATGTAAACTGGTGGCATATATTGTCACATATTATTTATTTTATTGGGCCTTTTTCTTGTTTCTCTGGCTGCTACAGTAGCTTAATATTTTACTATTCATTTTTTTGATCTAATAAAACTTTTTACAGTATTACTGCAGTAAAAGCTTCATGACAATGTACTAGAAGTGTCATGAGATTACATCTCAGCTTTGCATGTAGAGTATGGCTTGTCTCTCCTTGCTACGTTATGCCTGGATAATGAATACTGAATATATATAATGTCAGGTGGGTAGCTGCGTCAGCATGCGTAGGCTGCAAAGGAACAAGTAATAGGTTTATTCCATGCTGAAAAAAAGAAGAAAGAGAACACAACGTTTCGGCCGTGGAGCCTTCTTCACACCTGAAGAAGGCTCCACGGCCGAAACGTTGAGTTCTCTTTCTTCTTTTTTTCAGCATGGAATAAACCTATTACTTGTTCCATATATAATGTCATATATATATATCTAAGAAGGGATAGGTGTTTGTTTAGACAATCATATAATATTGTTGCAGGAGTTAGCTGTTCCAAAATGCTAGGTCTCTTACAGTATTAAAAAACAGTTTATTTTATGAAATCTTTCATTTTTGAATGCTTCAATGTTTTAAGTTAAAGTGATTGTTATTCCATTGCTTTAATTAAGGGGATTGATTTGATTTCTTTGTGTCTCCAGAACTGTTTCTAAATTAAGAGCGAGGCTTTAGGGATTAGTGTCTGGAAAGACTTCATGTTTCAACAGGCCAAAAAAAAAGATGTTATTTTCAATATAATGAACTTATTGTACATTGATTTCACTTTCTGGTAAATTCCTTAGTTTTCCACTACAGCAGGTTTGATATATGGCATTTAATTAGATTGAATATTCCTGTTCTGTAAGTCTGGGTTCAGTGCTTTCCATAACATTTCAGCAAATTAAAAAATAAAGGATTCCTGTCAGATTTGTATTGCTAGATGCATTTTGGCAAACATTTTTTTTCTCTTGCAATTAGGGTGAATGGCAAGCTTGTTGCACTGAAAGTTATCCGACTCCAAGAAGAAGAAGGCACTCCATTTACAGCAATCAGGGAAGGTAGGTTTTCCTTGTCAGTGATGTCTGATTATCACTGGGGTTTTTCAGCATTATTTCCTCCATTCATTGTTTTGACATTTAGAAGGAGCATTTCATTTGATACAAAAGATGATACTACATCGGTTTTCAAAGCACATTTCAGACAGAACCCTTACTATGCTGTTTAACATACTACAGTACTTCTACCTATTACCAAGTCTGTTTTCTCCAGTGGTTTAGTATTTTTAGAAATAGAGAACAAAAATCAACCACTAGATCTGTAAGTTCTTTTTTGATGGCTCTTTTCTTTCCTCATTAGATTCTTTTTACTTTTGCTGAGCCAGTCATCTATACAGTCCTTTACTGGCAATGGAAATTAGTGTTAACTCTGCACTTAAAAAAAAAATGTTTATATTTGTATTTATTTATAAATATTTGTAAAGTCTTGTAAATGTTTGTGACATTGTAAATGTATTTGTAATTTAATTAATTACAAATATTTTTTAACCTAATAGTACATGGTGTTTTGATCTTCACCATGACTGGTCTCTCTTGGCCTGGACTGGACTTTGAACCTTTCAATAACAGCTGAGTACAGAATTGATCCTTAAATGCTTAATTAACCCAGGTGCTGTTGATCCTTTGATAATAAATGATTAAGTGAACAGACATGTAAGAGCATAAAGTCCAGATGTCAAGGTTGACTAAACAGGATCTAAATTCTTAATTTAAAGCTTTTAGGTGTACATACAAAGCATTTTTTTGTTAATTTGATTTTTTGTCAAACATACAAACATACATACATTTTTGTTTAACATACTAATAGGGGAAAGGGTGTCCATTACTGCTGAAGATCCATTTAAAACATTGATAATCTTTTCAGCAAATAAACACATAAACAGTATGAGAAAAAGATATATATATATAAATGATATATGCTTATGGATTTTTTTGCTTATTATTTAACAAATGCAATCAACACAGTCTATGAAAATTGTTTCTGTGCCTTATCATAAATATATAAGCTCTTTATTTCATGTATCGTAAATATACTACATAAATGCTACAACATACAAAACACCAAGTCAATCCAGTTCAAAATGCTTTGAATATTCATCCCTGGGGGGGGCAATTTAAGATTCGCCTACTCCTACAGGGCACAATTGGAATTCTTGAAACCTATATAGTAATTATTTTTACTTTGTTTCATTATTTGTATGTTTTCTAATTATTTTTAAGAAAGTTGGATGTTTTACAAAAAAAAATCCCCTTTAGCAGGTCTTATCTGTTAAATAAATATTCCATTAAACTGAACGTTTACTGTATTTTCACCTACTGCACTCTGTAGTGTCATGCTTTCCACTGTTTATGATAGCCAATATTGTCGCTAGGAAGTCTTTTGAGCGTAGTAGCAAACCATTTCAGTCACTCTTTTCAGGTTAAAGAAGCATTTGTTCTCATCTTTAGCGTTAGTGAATTTGGCTTTTGCTCTCAAGTACTCCCTTAGTATGCTCTTGGTGTGTGGTTCTGTCGGCTTGCTCAGTCCATTCTACTGGTTTTAACTCCTTATTCCAGATGAGCTCTAGAACTGTCTCTGGAGCTGTCATCACAACTGTTGCCGCAGTAGTTAAATTAAACAGAGAAACTGGTTAAATAACCAAACGCCAACCGAGAATTCTGTGCTCTGACGTCTCTGCTTTGCATTTGATTTGTTGGTACACCAGCACATAAGAAGGCCAAATCCACAACAGGCCTAATTGAGCTTGGATGGCAATAACAACCAGCCAAAGGTCTTCAAGGGACATGGAGTCTGAGGAGTTTAGATGCATTGCCCCTACCAGTGGAACTTGCTGTTTTAATTTAAATGAGAAAATTATTCTGATCTGACAGATCCACAGCTGTAAATTGAACTCGGATTGTCTCAGGCCGGTCCCCTGTGTACAGATCAGAAAACTACTTTGAAACAGAACTAATTCAGCAATTACTGAGCTAGATGGCCACAGCCTGAAACGTGCAGAGAATTACAGTGCGTCGGTTGAAGGCAGATGAGTATTCTCGAGATGGGTTCTAATATAGCAGGACAGCAGGGGAGGACTCTGAGCACACAAATGCTTCATTATCCAGACCTGTCAGCCACTTTTCACCAAAGCAACCGAAAAATCCAATACTGTAAAGCTTCACCCTGCTTGTTTTGCCCACTGCCCCCTCTCTGTGGAGCTTCATTATTTTAACCTGCAGCAGACCCTCTACTAGGATGGATTATAGACCAGCAAACAGAATGTACAGTAAGTCATTCAGCATATGCAGTAAATATTTTAGTTTCGGACTTAATCTGTTTATATTGATTTATTATTTTAGGACAAATGGGTTAGTTCCCACTCTGGTGCTGTAGCGGATAGGAGGTTGTTTGTATTATGAGGGCTTAAACAACACACAGTACAACACTGTAAATGTGTGTGTTTATTCTTGTGTTGCAAGAACAGTTGACAGTCATATCACACATTCCCCCTCCAGATTTACAAACTAAACTAAATGAACTAGCAAGAGCATCTCTTTTTCGTGATTTGATCTTTATCTGCATTTTCTGCGCTTCTGAAGTTAAAACAGTAAAGAAAGATTGTTTTCTGAGATGTTCCTAGGCTGTGAATTTTCTTCTGTCAGACTTTGACATTAACGCCCTGTGTCCTGATGTAACTAATGGGAATCTGAAGCAAATGGGAGCACATTTAAGATTTGTTTTTTGTTTTCTTAGCCTTGCAAAGAGCATGGAATTTTGAAGTTAATCACATTTGCCACAGTAAGAAAAGCCTGCTTAATAATAAATTACCATAAATGCACCCAAAATTATTTCTTGTACTTTTTGTTTTAAATTAAACCCCTTTTTAGTTTAAGCTGTAACAAGATAAGATTTTTTGTAAACCATTTGTTCTCTAGTGATTACATAATTGTCATTTCGAAAGCTTTGTTTTCTCTGATCTAAATCTTTCAAACACGCGAAAGCCTATTTGTACCCATTTACACTTGCACCAAGCTTAAAAAACTTGGCCGCACTTCAGACACCATAGGAGAGTTTTAAATGACAGCTAACTAATTACAATTTTCATGCACAACTTGCTAGCAAAGATAATAGAACACTTGCCTTAGGAATAGTTCAAGTGATTTTTTTCTTCCTCTTGGGTGATTTGTACCACTGAATGAGAAAGGTTCAGTTCCCTGTCAATCAGTTGGTATGCTGGTGAATTGTGATATTATTCTTGACTTCCAATGGATGGCAAGTACAAGCAAATTTGTAAGGGTTAAATGTGATTATAAAATTTCTAGAGACTTAAAAATGACTTTTCTTAGTCATTTTAGATGCTTTTAAAGGAGAATTTCAACACAGCCTCTTACTGAATATCCCATGCAACATTTATTGCCTTATAAAAGGTGTGCATTTTCTCATAATTGATGACCTTTCTGTATATAGTCTCCTGTTTGCCCCATTCTGTTTTCCTGATTAAAGGAATGCTTAAGATGTTCTTGGTTAGAATAGTGGCATCTCCTGAACTTCTCCTTTGGCAACCTCCTTTTTTAGTTTTTTTTCCAAAAGGAGCTTTTGAATAGTTATGGTTCTCTCTGGTCAGGGTCAGATAGAGGAGGTCTTACCGATGTTGACCAGGTTTAAATTGATGTCTGTGGACCTCTTGGCAATTAGAAACGGTGTTCTTGTCTTTCAGTGATTTTCCTTCCTTACTTCTACTGTACTACATCCACTTTGCTGCCATTTATCTTACACTGTCTGCTCACACTTTAGGTTCAACACTTCCCCTGTTTTTCTGTTCAACAAACCTGTTGTGCTGCTAGAGGCCTTGGCGTATCTCAGTCATTCACTGTGCTACTCTGCAGCCTCTGGTCCAGTCAGGGTCTTACCCTTCAGAGACCAGTGTCTTGGTTCCATATGAAAGAGTGATGCTACTCCTATGTCCCAACCAAGCTTCTAAAAATGTATCATTGGCTTCCCCTCAATTTCAGAGTGGTACAGTGGACCGTGAAGCTCAGTTCTCATTTACCGCACTTTTGTTTTTCTGTGCAAGATAGATTTCCTTTCCTCAGAGATCTGTGCCGATGTAAAACTATAAACAGGATTTACTTTGTGAAAGGAGTCATTGGTTGCAATGAATTTTCTCATTCTCCAGGCTTATTTAGATATAGTTCTGTCTGTGACTCTGTTTTGTGGTTTTAAAGACTGTGTAGAAATTAGTTGCCTGTTATAATTGTAATGGAAATAATCTATCAGTTTTATTATTACTTGTTATGAATTTTAAGGCTGTCGCGTAATAACCTTTTGATGTGGGAATACATTCCTTTGTATTGCCTCTGAACTTGAAAGGCCATCAGAAAAAGGTTTCTCATGCATTAGTCTGCACCCTTGGGGTGAAACTGCGCCTTCTTGATTTTGTTTTTAATCTCCAGTAGATTTAATTACAAGATCAAACATAAGAGCCTGATGTGTTAAGGAAGGGGATTACTCTTAGCATGCCTATTACTTGTAAATTAATCCATCTGTACTTAAGGTGAATATACACCTAGTTACAGGGTGTGTTCAAAAGGTTTTCAAATGTCTTTTTTCACCCATTGTACATTGGTGACGAATTTTACAATATTCCGACTTATTTTTCATAGCAGCTATTACAAGTTCATAGCACCAGTGAAAAGGCTGAGGTACATACAGGACAGATAACCAAAGGGATAAGAGCTACACCATGACCGAGAGAAGGCTGGTGTCAGGAGGGCGTAACGTTTTTGTTCAATTGGCAGAAACATAAGAAAGATAAATATCCAAGCTGATCCATTGAAAACCCTTGAGTTTAAAGCTTGTGATTTAGCCATTTTCATTTAAACATCATCTTACCAAGCATCCCTGGGGTTTCTAACCAAGGTAATGGAAGGTGACATTAGAAGATATAAAAAGGTGAAAAGGATGATGCTAATATATCTCAGGAAAAGGATTTTGATTACGATGTATATCGCTGCTGTGGCTAATTTTGTTTTCAAATGAAAGCATGAAAGTGTTATGCACTTTCCATTTGTTACTGTCAAAGTAACTGCTAATAGAAAAGCAGCTGACTGTAGCAGAAAGAAAAACAGCTACTGCTGGAAACCAGACAGAAATTGGCAGCAAGGCCTGCCAATGAATTCATTATCACCATTTAGTCTGAGTGCTTTAAAATGTTTGATATCACTCTTGTAAGACTGCAGCAAGGCTGATCTGAGGAAATTCTGAAGACTCAGGAGGGAAACCCCCTTTTTATCCTGTTGATGATAATATTGTTTATGAAGACACGGAATGTGTGACCATTGTGATTAATCTGGGACATCTTTTGTTTTTCCTTTTCAGCTTCGCTTTTGAAAGGTCTGAAACACACAAACATAGTGCTGCTACATGACATCATCCACACAAAAGAAACATTAACACTTGTTTTTGAGTACGTGGTAAGTGAAAGTTGACTGTAACAACTCTTATCCGACAGTTTTTTTTCATAGTTGACAAATCTCTTGTCTAGAAGCAGGCTCTTACCAATCCAGTAATAATTTCTGAAACACAGTTTCTGTATCTGTATTTCTTTCATCAAAGAAAGCTTTTTTTATACCTACATTAATTTAGGGCTAGAGAAAGTGTACTGTACTTCCTGCTTAGTGTTTATAATATTTTCCCCCTCTAAACCTGCTTTGTACTGTGTTTTTACCCCAGTACTTTATGAAGTACAAGTACAGTGTATTAAAGAATGGTGAAAATCATGGTAATAGATTGGGAAAATTTAATACAAACCATATGAGTCCATGTAAGAGTGAATGCATAGCTACTTATAAAAATTTGAACTCCCTTTTAATTTGTTTAATGCATGGCACAGTCTCCTGCATGTTTTGACCTCATTCAGGATATTTAGTTTTCTTGGCATTTTTATTATTAGGTCTGTATCTTCTCTAATACTTTTAACAATTTAAAGTTATCTTGAATGCTGTTTTGTCTTAACTGTTGTTCTCCGGTCCTGTCTTCCAGTTTGACTTGTTTGTATTTTAAACTCTGACCCACAGTTTCTTACAACCCATCGGATTTTTATATAAATTCTCTTTCCTCCCTGTTTATTATAATTTTAGGTTCTCTTCTTCTAATGGATTGGCTTAAACAGCTCTCTATGCAGTTTTATTTTAATAACATTGTGTGATTCTAGTCTGTTTTTTTAGATTACATTTAATCGCACTTACTAAGCAAAATGTTACATTTATAGTATTCAATCTCTAGGGTTCTATAAGGAAGCAGAGTGAAAAAAATGCTTTATTCTGAAATTGTGCTTATGCTAAAGTTGCATATTTCCATTAAATAATAGTGTTGCTTTCTTGGTTTCTGAATTTCTTAATAGGAATTTCTCAGTGAAAGCCTAATTTAATTTTTGTCCTTAAGTCAGACTCGGTTTGAAGTGACTTGACTCCAGAAACAAATTTCTTTACCAATACGATTATAGAAAAACTGCTTGAAAACCAAATCAATTTATTTTATGGTAAGAAAGTAAACAATAATTAAGTTGGAATATAAATGTGCAGCATGATTTATAGTGTTCTGAGTGTAAAAAATGAGAAGCCCTCTAGTGGTTTGGTTAGAAAATGAAATTATGAAAATAATACATGACAAATTTACATATTTTCTGCAGTTTCTTCTTTTCTCTAGCAAAATATAGGCTTTCTCAATAACAATTCAAATATGATTACTATATTTGTTGAAATATGACTTAACTGAAAGTATACATACACATGCAGCAATTTGACTTTTTACAGTTTGAGTTGCATTATATTACTCTGAGCAGCCATATCACCACTGAACCTAAGCAGGTGTGAGCCTGGTCAGTACCTGGATGGGAGACCTCCTGGGAAAAACTAAGGTTGCTGTTGGAAGAGGTGTGTGTCCTAATGCCCCAGTATAGTGACGGGGACACTACACTGTAAACAGGCGCTGTCCTTCGGATGAGACGTAAAACCGAGGTCCTGACTCTCTGTGGTCATAAAAATCCCAGGGTGTTTCTTGAAAATAGTAGGGGTGTAACCCCGGCATCCTGGCCAAATTTCCCATTGGCCCTTCCCAATCATGGCCTCCTACTAATCCCCATCTCTGAACCGGCTTCCTTACTCTGCTCTCCTCCCCACTGATAACTGATGTGTGGTGAGCGTTCTGGCGCACTATGGCTGCCATTGCATCATCCAGGTGGGGCTGCACACTGGTGGTGGTGGTGGAGGGGAGTCCCCATTACCTGTAAAGCACTTTGACTGGAGTTTCCAGAAAAGCGCTAGATAAGTGTAAGCAATTATTATTAATTATTATCTGTTGGTCTGTACGATTAAACAAATAAAAAAGCTCACAACAGATAAAAGATAAAGCTTATCTAGATAAGGTGAGATAAGGCTTGTAACTTAGCTTTCCATAATACCATGTTAGATGTCAAATTACATGACTGTTGGAAATATTTTGATTTCAGTTAACTAAATTCTAAACTGAGCACAATTTTAATTTACCTACAGTATAGTATTGCAATTATTTAATCACTTTTAGTAAAGTCAAAACACCAGAGTTACTGCCATTATAATTATACCTAAACTCATATTCTGTGGAGGAAAAGTTCAGTGTCCCATGTACATGCCAGAAAAAAAATAGGAATAACAAATCAAAAGTCATTTAATAATATATCTGAGCTTATTAGTGCCCTTAACATACCTTGTATAATAAATACATACAGAAAGGTTCTACTTCAGATATTGAGTCTGACATTTATTTTGTAGTTTCAGAATTACTGTACAACTACACTTGAGTTTTGAAGTGATGTAGTAAATTCACAGCACAGAACCACTATGTTGCTAAAAGCTGAACCTGGAAAGAAAGATGAGCAGTCTAATGGACTGAGATTCCCTTTTATCTTTTATTTCAGACTTTTCTGCTCACTTACAGAGCCTTCCACCAAGATAATCAATTCTTTGTCTTCGCTGGTGGTTAATAAAGATTGACAGGTGAAGAGCGATAGTTCAGTACAGTCCTAAGTAAGACTGACAGCCTGTGCACAGAATCTGTAATCTATTTGAATTATTCATTATAAAAGCACATTTATCTTGATATAACTAACAGTAGAATTTTGCGGGTTTCTCTGGCCCTCAGCAACAAAGTCTTTAATATAGAAATGTGAAAGAGCAGCACCAGGTAATTTGTTTTCCTTGTGAAAGTTGCTTACACATTGTTCTGTGTCACTGCAGATACCCCTGTTCACCTTTAGGCAGATTAATAGAGAGCACAGCTGAAATACTCTACACACGAAAACTTAATACCAATAATAAATTAAAGCAAAAGAAAAAAAAGATCTTGCTTAGTAAGCTTTTTTATGATTGTTTTTTTTAAACAATGGTTCAAACAAAACTTCATTTCTGTTGTCACCTTGTGGGACGACGCTTGTTTAGAGAATATTCAGTGGTATTCAGTTGGCCAAGTGGGTAATTTAGTGTACAGCACAACACAGAACTCTCTGACTGGCCAGTTGTGACCTCTGAACAGTCCTGCAGCCAAGATTGAAACCATACGGTTTTTTTCTCTGGGTTTGCAGTTTGATTGGAAGTGATTGGTTTTGGAATGTTTATTGTGCATTTCTAAATTTACTGTGTATATGGTCTTTGTCTCCACTTCTTGGTAAAGGAGTTGAAAGCAAACTGACTATTTAATTTTAGAGGATATAAAAATGTAAGTTCAGATTTCTGGAGAAATGTCTCAAAATGGGTGGATATGGACTATATACAAATGTGTGAGAGTAAACAGTGCTGTAAGCCTCTTATTCATGTTGTTACTAATGAACATACAGTATATTCGTTCAAACGATGAATTGGGGATAGATAAAGGATTATTATTTCATCTTCCAAATTTTGGGTGGTGGGAATAAAAATAAAATACCGGGTGATTTCAAATATGATGATCATCCCTGAAGACAAAAAAAAAATAGTAGGAACTGGTAAAATTGATAGACTTGGTCTGCAGTTTAAAGAATTAAATCTGACTGATTAAAAAGGAACATAAAAGGAAACATGGCAGTGGCTAGCAATCGAGCCCTGAGCGGAGAGGCCAAACTGTGAAAGACTGCAACCCTCACAAGGATGTATGGACTTAAAAGGAATAGATGTATGACCAGGATATTCCTTTTCAGCTCTCTGAACAATATTCTGAGAAAGTTCACTGGTTCACTGAAGACCAAGCTGTCAAGTGACACAAACTTCCCTTCTTTTTCCTTCAGCACACGGATCTGTGCCAGTACATGGACAAGCACCCTGGGGGTCTTCATCCAGACAATGTGAAGGTAGGTGGCAGAAACAGCCGGCACTTATATAATCTTGGGCTGACCCATGTGGAGCAATGAGCCACAACATTGTTCAGTTTTTTTGTTCCTTTCCTATCTTTGTATTTTTAGACATTTCACAACAGTTATTTTGTGAAAGTTTAACAGAATTTTCTGTATCTGTTATTGTAAGCTCGATGAAAGTTATTATTCTTTTGAGGATGCAGCTCATTCTTTACATTTCAATAGATGCTGAAACATTTCCTTTTGGCATTTGAAAGCATCGTTTTTAAATGGGTATTTGTGTTAAATAACACCTGCTGAAAAGCAGTGGCCTGGTTGAACACTAAGGCAAAATGCACTAAGTGTTTACCCTTTTGACAGTGCTACCGATGTTCAGTATGTGAGTAAAATTGAAATGAAAGAGGTGTGCCCAGATTTATACTAAATGACTATTTTAGGTTATAACTGAGATTTCTATAGGAAGCTTGCAACCTCATTTAAAATGTCCTTGTCTGCTTTTGACTATTTGACTATTTTCTGTCTGAAAGAGAGGATGAGGTTTGGAAAAAGTCCAAAAGGCATGGCGTGAGGCATGAGGCTTAACACAAGTTATGTAACAATTTTACCTTTTTTTCCTCATGATTAACATAGATAATATTTTTTTCCTTTTCTGCAGTTTGTTTAAATTCAGCTGAATAATGTGAGGTAAATTCTTTCAAAGATAAGCAACAAACAATCAACACATTTGCAACAGAAATGTTAATAGTTTTAACTAATTTGCTGATTATTCTAGGTGAGAACTCATTTTGAGCGCATTAAATGGGCCATCATTGTTTTTTGCATTGCTACTTAACCCAAAAATCAATAATAATAATTATGGCTAATAATGTGAGGTCTTACTGTGCTGAGAGACATAGATTTATATTCAGTTTATATGTTCTGTGCTACAAATTATTATAATACAGTACAGTGTATGTGTACTGTATTATAATAATCTATAACAGTAGAAGTTCAGGTGGGTAGCTGCGTCAGCATGTGTAGGCTGCAAAGGAACAAGTAATAGGTTTATTCCATGCTGAAAAAAAGAAGAAAGAGAACACAACGTTTCGGCTGTGGAGCCTTCTTCAGGTGTGAAGAAACTCACACCTGAAGAAGGCTCCACGGCCGAAACGTTGTGTTCTCTTTCTTCTTTTTTTCAGCATGGAATAAACCTATTACTTGTTCCTATAACAGTAGAATTCTGTTTTAAAAAAAACTTTCTTCATCCCCAAGGCGGTAAGTTTAATGGTACAGTATCTGAATCATTTACAATAATGTTTAAATGTACTCCATTTCAATCTAAATGTCATCTTACTTATAAGAGCATATCTGGCTTGGTTGAAGCCAGGTGAAGAATTAAGTGTTTGGAACCTTTGAGCAGAAGTCTAAGTCGATACCTCATTGACTTAATCAGCATTAATACCTCGCCTTTGGGAATGACAAATGGACATGTTGGCTAGCCCTCAGAAGTCAAGCTTGGGTATGTCTGGTCGCTAAACAGGTCACAGGGAATAGATCCTCTTTTCACAAAGGCTCTAATCCGGCAGTGTTCAGGGCGAGTTCCAGCATCTTGGTGGGTAATTTGGAAAAGATTGCAAGGATGCAGTGTGGAAAACTGTCCTGGCCAGCTGTTGTAACTGTAAGCCAAAGCTAAGTTCGAATTGCCTGTCTGATCCCTGTCACCAAAGAGTGAGACGTTTGGCAGGTCGGGAGGACCTTGGGGTAGAGTCACTGCTCCTCTGAATCGAGAGGAGCCAGCTGAGGTGGTTCGGGCATCTGCTGAGGATGCCCCCCAGATGCCTCCGAGGTGATTATAATTCTCAGTTGACCCGGGAGCACCTGAGAATCCCCCAGGAGGAGCTGGAGGCTGTTGCTGGAGTAAAGCAAGTCTGGTCTGCCCTGCTCAGCCTGTTACCAACCTGACCCTCGCCAGGAGTAAGCCGTGAAAATATGAATTAATGAACGTCAGCATCTTATGATATCATATACCATATACCATTATAAGTCATCCCCATAATACGTTGTTTTGCATGTACACTATTAATGAATTGTGGAACGTGAGATTAAAAAAAACACTTTTAATGTGTTGTAGATTCCTACAAATGTAGATTTGTTTTGTTCCAGCATCCTACAACCATCCTACAACCTAGGTATTACGATGACACAACTGAGCTTTGGAATTATTTTTCATGTTTTAACATCTTACATTTTTCTAATGAGACAGTAAAAGTAAACCTCAAAGCTGAATGTAGACTCAGCTGAAAAAACTGTATAACTGCCAGCATTCAAAATTAATTTTAATTTCAAATGAGTGCTTTTGAAAGTGCTCTACCCCCTTTATATCCAAGTTTCGACTATCTGTCTCCAGTTACAAATGTCTTAAATCAGTGCAGGATTTTGGCACAGCATTTTATACCAATTATGTAATTGAGGGGTTGGATGTTCCATTATCCAGGATGACTTAACTGATTTCCTGTCTTAAATGCACTCACACTTTTTATAAAAAAGTAGTTTACAATTTCAAAATAATTTAATGATTGGAATACCTTTGCCTTAAACATTATTGACCCCTGTCTTTTGTTACAGTTGATTGTAAAACCTTTAATTGACTTATGCAAATAATATTGCTGTTCCAAATCTTCCAGGAGTTTTCAACAGGCTAGAAAAAAATGAAGGAATCAGACTTGCTAAACCACAGCTCAGACCTTTCAGCTTCTGGGAGGTATTGTGATTAGCTGTCCCGGGAAATTCACCTAGTACCTTGGGCGAATTAACTCCACAGTTCTCTGTATCGTGCAGTTGGTTAACCAATTAACTAGTGGAGTAAGGGGTCCACATGTCACAGAAGAAAATAAAATCAGGTTGTTTGGAAAACAAAAATATACAGGGTTTCTCAAATGTGAAAAAAGTAAGGCTGAATTACAGCACTTTCAGCAAAAGGCCATGGAAACCAATGACCTAGAAAATGTGAATAGAAAAGCTGTTAGACAGAGAGAAATTGCTTTATCTTTGATCTTAAGTGGGCTAAGAGACTTATTATATTTAGCTAGTAAGTAGAAAACCTTTCCCCTGCAGTGTGGAATAACTGTTATATAAAATCCATTGCTTGCAGAACATACCTGTATTATATCTAAAAATGTATTGAGAATACAGAGTGGCACTTATTATGATTGCATTTAGATAATGTATATGTTTAAACAACAAAAATAAGCAAAAATAAGCCTTAAGTAATAAAGACACTTAGAGCTGCATTACATTTAGACAGAGTTCCAAAAAAAATAAGCGATGCTCTAAAACATTTCACATTAATATTCTTTCTGTCATAAGTTAACCGATGAAATGTGGATTCCTTTCTTGGCATTTTTGTATTTGCCGAATGAAGGTCCTATTTTTTATAAAAAGGAGACTATCAAACGTAGATGTTGGAAGAGAGATATACAGTCAATTTATTTTCCTGTCAGATAGCAGCAGAGCGGAATGTCAGTGTAAAATGAATATCGGTCCCTCATCAGGCATCGTGTCAGATAGTGTAGGACCTTATTCCCGTTCCAGTTCGAGATTCAGTGTACATACTGTAGGAGGCCAGAGTCATATGTGCCACCAGTTACCAATGCAGACTCTCACACTACAGATATCAGCAGTATTAGTGTTTAGGGTACAGCATTAACACATACGTTTTATGAAATATTTTTGCTTGTATAGAATACTGCTTGCATCGATATTTTACTAAAACCTGAGGCTAGGGACTAGTACATGACAGAATAATTTATTATAATAGTAGAACAATTTTTAGTAAAAATACAGACAGAAGAGAGAATCTTGATTTGCATCTTGGGAATGGGAAAGGTAGCTAAATTTACCCCCATTTTGAGAAATCATCTACAGTTTTGTCATTGCACCTTAGGCAGGGAATGCATTCAGATCCCAGCATCCATGAATCAAAATCTTTATATAACGCAAATGTATAATGTAGGATTTATAAGGTATAGGTGCCATCCTGAAAAATAGGGGGCTTTTGGAAAAATATTCAGTCTATATTCACAAACAAATTGTATGTAAAGGATAACCTATTCCCTAATAACCTACAGTAAACACAAAGGATAGCCAAGACTTTTACCTGAATGAGAAACTTACTCTTACTGGATGGATAAAGAAGAGTACATTGATTTTGAAATGATTATAGACAACGGAGGTTATTCATAAAAATAGACAGCACATTGCCTTCGTAACACTCCGACAGGTTTTTTCTGTCTTGTTTGTGATGGTCTAGTTGTACCCACATGTTTCAGCTAAGTTTTCAACCACCAATAAATGTTAGTTAGCAAATGAAGTTGCACAGTTCTGATAATGGAGCTGACTAAGTAAAGAATGTGCTGTGGCTGTAAGTGGTGGACTGGTCTGGTTTAAAAGGGGATTTTTCTCCCAAATCATAATCCTGAACCTTTGTGCACCTTTGCCCAGTTTTGTTTTCACTCCTCTACTCCAGAGATAATGTCCTTGTCTGTGCTGTCTGTTATCATACTAAGTGGCTGAGACTGTTTAAAGGGATGGGCAGAGTAAAAATGTACGAAAGTCACCCATGTCCATCTAGACAATGGTGGCACTGGTGGTGCCTGGCTGTTGGTCTGAAATGTGGACATGAACCCACAATATTGCAGGCTAGTACCCAGATTTTTCCACAGACTAAGCAACTGAAATAAAGACCCTGACCTGGACTCTCAGTATTTTGGATCATGAACATTCTGGTTTGTTTATGCACAGATAGTTATTTCTTCTCGACTGTAAGGTATAGGAAAGGCTATAACGTGATAGTTATTGCTACTGTTTTTTGTTTTTTTTGGTCTTTCTGATTACTCTGTCATGTATTTAGTAACTTTCCTCCCAAGTTAAAACAATAACTTTTGTTACTCTGATGTTTACAATTTCATTCCAGCTAGAATTACTTTTTTAACACTTCTTTTGCTTTTCGTAAAAAGTAA